CCTTTGGAAGCCACTCCCTCTTTGGGGAGCACCTCCTCTTTGGAAGCCACTCCCGCTTTGGGGAGCACCTCCCCTTTGGAAGCCACTCCCTCTTTCGGGAGCACCTCCTCTCTCAGAGGCCTTTCCTCGTTGGGGGATGCCTCCTCTTCAGGGGTCCTCTCCTCTTTGGAAGGTGCCTCCTCTAGAAGCATTGTAGCCTCTGCCTGGGGGTGGGGCTTCTCAAGAGCAGGCCTGGACCCTGGCCCAGACTTCAACTCAGCCTGGTGTGGGGAGCTGTCCCCTCTAACTAGGGGGCATTTCATCTCTCCCAGGCACCTCTCTGAGGAAGGAGGCTGGAGTGGGGGTGCCTCTGGTGTGTGGGCCTTCTCCTGGGATGATGGAGCCTCTTTGGCTACAAAGGACTTGACCTTCTGCAGGGCTTCCTCCGAAGAGAAGTGATGGAATTGAGTGTCATCTCTGGTGGACACCTCTTCTTCAGAAAGCTCTGGGGTCAAGACCTTTTCTCGAGTGGGGGCCTTATCCCCCAGAGGGGCCATCTTTGGATCAGGGACATTATCCATTGGTGGGACTTCTGGGCCATTGGCCTCTTCCATTGAAAAGACCCTTTCTGGAGTGGAGGGTTTGTCCACAGTCAGGGCCTCCTCTGGGATGGAGTTCTCTGGGATAGAGGCCTTGTCCTCTGGAGTCTCCATCCTCTCTGGGGTGGGGACTATGTCAGGAGCTGGGATCTTCCCCGAGGTGGAGTTCCCTGGGATAGAGGCCTTGTCGTCTAGAGTGAGGGTCTTCTCTGGGGAGGGGACCTTGTCAGGAACCAGGATCTTCTTGGAGCCGGGGGCATTCTCTGGAGCTGGGGGCCTCTCTGGAGTTGTGGTCTTGTCCAGCATGGGGGTTCTCTTCACAGAGGGGGCCTTTGCTGGGCTGCTGTGCTCTTCCTCCTGCCATGATGGGAAGTGAAGTCTCAGCTGAGGTTGAGTCTGGTTCCCCTTGGCCTGGGAGACTTCACCCGTGCACACCACAGCTGGGAACCAGCCTCTGCCCAGCATCCCCTCTCCCATGTCTCCTGCCCCTCACCTGACTGGACACAGAGCGTTGCTGGGGAGTCTGGGTTTTGGATCGCTTTCGGCCAGGGTGACACGAACCCCCGCTTTGGAAGCCACCATTGGGGCCTAAGAGAGCAGAACTTCAGGGACCCAAGCCTACTCTGACCCTCAGTCTCTTCCCACCTCTGTCCATCCGCACAGCCACCCCATCCCTGTCCTCCCGTCCTCCCTGCACTGGAGGGCAGCCCTTACCTGAGTCTCGGGACGTGAGCTTCTGACTGTCCCTGCTGGGTGTCCGAGATGTCCTGGAACATATCTTCATCAGGCCCTCAGGGTGGAGCACAGGGAGGGGTGTTCCTTCTACCCTCCTCCTTCCCCCAACCCCATCCTGCTCCTTACTTGGCTTTGCTGGGCCCAGTGGCGGCTGTCGCTAGTTTCTTGACTGTGGGGAGGGATGTTTTGGGCATCAACTTTTTTGGTTCCTTAATAGGAGCTGGGAAGAGAGAGGAGTGGAGCATTCATCCATCTGACAGTCGCTGGCCCTGTCTTGTGCTGTATGCAGGGGACTGTGGGCAGGAGGCTAATCTTGTCTGAGTATGCGCCACCACACCCGGCTAATTTTTCTATTACTATTATTATTCTGAGACGGAGTCTCGCTCTGTGCCCAGGCTGGAGTGCAGTGGCGTGATCTTGGCTCACTGCAAGCTCTGCCTCCCGGGTTCACACCATTCTCCTGCCTCAGCCTCCCTAGTAGCTGGGACTACAGGCGCCCGCCACCATGCCCGGCTAATTTCTTTTTGTATTTTTAGTAGAGATGGGGCTTCACCGTGTTAGCCAGGATGGTTTTGATCTCCTGACCTCGTGATCCGCCTGCCTCGGTCTCCCAAAGTGCAGGGATTACAGGCGTGATTACACTGCGCCTGGCCAATTTTTGTGGGTTGTTTTTTTTTTTTTTTTGAGATGGAGTCTCGCTGTCGTCCAGGCTGGAGTGCAGTGGCGCGATCTTGGCTCACTGCAAGCTCTGCCTCCCGGGTTCACCCCATTCTCCTGCCTCAGCCTCCTGAGTAGCTGGGACTGCAGGTGACCACCACCACACCCAACTAATTTTTTGTATATTTAGTAGAGACAGGGTTTCACCGTGTTGGCCAGGATGGTCTCGATCTCCTGACCTCGTGATCCGCCCGCCTCGGCCTCCCAAAGTGCTGGGATTACAGGCGTGAGCCACCGCGCCCGGCTGACTTCTGCTTCTTACACGGTATGGCTGATTAGATGCTCTATAGGGTACTTCCATCAGAAAGCAATTATATCCTGCTGAGGACACAATTTTGAGGCACTGTTGGAGTTAAAAGGTAAAGGAGGTCTACAGAAGAGAGGACTGGGCCAGGTGCAGTGGCTCACACCTGTAATCCCAGCACTCCCAGTGGCTCACGCCTATAATCCCAGCACTTTGGGAGGCTGAGGTGGGAGGATCAGCTTGAGGTCAGGAGTTCAAGATCAGCCTGACCAACATGGTGAAACCCCATCTCTACTAAAAAATACAAAAATTAGCCAGGTGTGGTGGCGGGCGCCTGCAGTCCCAGCTATTTGGGGGGCTGAGGCAGGAGAATCGCTTGAACCTGGGAGATGGAGGTTGCAGTGAGCCAAATCATGCCATTGCACTCCAGCCTGGGTAACAAGAGCAAAACTTAGTCTCAAAAAAAAAAAAAAAAAAAAGATAAAGAAAAAAAGAGAGAGAACTGAAGCCAGAAAGGCAGAGGGAGGACAGCTCTGCTCTGTGGCTACTGAGCCTGGGCCCTGTGGTGTGAAGCCAGGGCCCTGGGCTCTGCTTCCTCAGCTCACCACAGGCCCCGAGCTCAGTACCACACAGCAGTGCCACCTTTCTTCAGGAGGACTGAAGCGGCTTCTGGTGGGTGGTGTTCTCCGGCCACTGGCAGAAGTAAAAGCAAATTCTCGGCCGGGTACGGTGGCTCATGCCTGTAATCCCAACACTTTGTGGGGCCAAGGCAGATGGATCACCTGAGGTCAGGAGTTCGAGACCAACCTGGCCAACATGGTGAAACCTCATCTCTGCTAAAACTACAAAAATTAGCCGGGCATGGTGGCACATGCCTGTAATCCCAGCTACTAGGGAGGCTGAAGCACGAGAATCGCTTGAACCCGGAAGGAGGAGGTTGCAGTGACTGAGATCACATCACTGCACTCTAGCCCAGGTGACAGAGCAAGACTTCATCTCAAAAAAACAAAACAAAAAATAAAAGCAAATTCTCGCTGGAAGAAGTCTTCTTCTACTAAGACCTGCAAGAGTCCCACAGATTAAAATCCAGCTATCAGCTCATAAACAAAGGTCACAAAACACGCCAGAGGGCAGGTCACCAAGAATGGAGTCAGCAGACACAACATACAACAGATAGTGGAAGTGTCAGGTAGAGAATACTGAATAGCTATGTATAACATATTTGAAGAAATTCAGGATGTGCATGGAACAAAGGACAATCAGGAATAACCACACAGGTTTGGAAAATTACCACATAGAAAACGGAAATACTAGAGATGAAAAATAGCATTCTTGAAAAAAAAAAAGCAACATAAATCCACTTACTTATATGCATATTGCTTATGTTGCCGGTACAGGTTACAGAGCAAACAGAGCCAAAAGGCTAGAGAGAGAATTTATAAACTAGAGGTGCAGTGAGACAAGGAATGCACAGAATGAGAGCAATGTTAGGAGGGAGGAATGACAGAAGCAGGGCTTGGCTCTGGCTGAATGAGGTGGTGGACAAATCCTCTCCTCGCAAGGCAACTATGAAGCTGGACAAAAATGATCCAACAGGCCGGGTGCAGTGGTTCACACCTGTAATCCCAGCACTTTGGGAGGCCGAAGTGGGCGGGTCACCTGAGGTCAGGAGTTCGAGACCAGTTTGGCCAACATGGTGAAACCCCCTCTCTGCAAAAATACAGAAATTAGCCGGGCATGATGGTGGGTGCCTGTAATCCCAGCTACTCAGGAGGCTAACAGAGGAGAATCACTTGAACCCAGGAGGTGGAGGTTGCAGTGAGCCGAGATTGTGCCATTGCACTCCAGTCTGGGAGACAGAGCGAGACTCCTTCCCTACCCCCAAAAAAAGAAAAAAAAAAAATCCAACAACCATTTCAATGCTCTGGAAATTATCCAAAGGCATGAGATAATTTGCGAAGGATTTTTTTTTTTTTTTTTGGAGACAGTCTCGCTCTGTCACCCAGGCTGGAGGGCAGTGGCGCGATCTCGGCTCACTACAACCTCCACCTCACAGGTTCAAGCGATTCTCATGCCTTAGCCTCCCAGATAGTTGGGATGACAGGCGCCTGCCACCATGCCCTGCTAATTTTTGTATTTTTTGGTAGAGACAGAGTTTCACCACGTCGGCCAGGCTGTTCTCAAACTCGTGACCTCAAGCAATGTGCCCGCCTCAGCCTCTCAAAGTGCTGGGGTAATTTGCAGAGCATTTTGTATGCTTGATAATGTTCTTGCCTAGGGCTGCTTTCATCCCCGGCCCCTCAGCTTGGTCCACATGGATGTTCTGCGGGGTAGGGCAAACTGAGGATCAGCAGCTTCACTGGCTAAGTTGAAGGCATCTCAATTTGGAGTGTAATCTTGGGATCTGACATTGGTTCAAAAGCACAGCCAACCAAAAAATTAGATAAATGGGACTTCATCAAAATGTAAAACTTTTGTACATCAAGGGACACCATCAAGAAGTGAAAAGACAACCTGAAGAAAGAGAAAAACTTTGGGAGGATGAGGTGGATGGGTTACAAGGTCAGGAGTTCAAGACCACTTGGGCAACATGGTGAAACCCCGTCTCTACTAAAAATACAAAAATTAGCCAGGTGTGGTGGCGCACACCTGTCATCCCAGCTACTTGGGAGGCTGACCCAGGAAAATCGCTTGAACCCGGGAGGGGGAGGTTGCAGTGAGCTGAGATTATGCCACTGTATTCCAGCTTGGGCAACAGAGCAAGACTTAAAAAAAAAAGGGAGAATGGGAGAAAATATTGCAAACCATATATGCATATATGTGATTAGGGACTTCTATCTAGAATATATAGAGAACTCTTCTAACTCAATAGTAAAAAGACAAATAATCCAATTTTTTAAATAGGCAAAGGATCCAAACAGACATTTCTCCAAAAGAAATAAGCACATGAAAATATGCTCAGCATCATTAGCCATCAGAGAAATGCAAATCAAACCCATAATGAGATACCACTTCATACCCACCAGGACAGTTTTCATTAAAAAGATAACAGAAAGAGCTGAGTGAAGTGCCTCACAACTGTAATCCCAGTATTTTGGGAGGCCAAAGCAGGAGGATCACTTGAGCATAGGAATTCCAGATCAGCCTGGGCAACATAGCAAGACCTTTTCTCTATGATAAACTTAAAAACTAGCCAGGTGTGGTGATGCACACCTATAGTCCTAGCTACTCGGGAGGCTGCAGTGGGAGGATCACTTGAGGTCTGAGGCTGCTGCGAGCTCCAGTTGTGCCACCACACTCCAGCCTAGGCAACAGAGCAAGACCCTATCTCTCCAAAATAAAAGAGTATACTATGAACAACTTTATGCAAATAATTAGAAAACTTACATAAAATATACAATTAAAAACATGTAACTCCACAACTGATTCAAGAATTTTACCCTGACTTTTGTTTAACTATTAAAGAAATTGAAGAAGTTGTTTAAAATAATCCCATAATGAAAAAAATATGGCAAGATGAATTTACAGACAAGTTTTACCAGCTTGCAAGGAAAGATGATTCCCATCTTATTTATTTATTTAGAGACAGAGTCTCGCTCTGTCACCCAGGCTGGAGTGCAGTGGCACGATCTCGGCTCGCTGCAACCTCTGCCTCCTGGGTTCAAGCAATTCTCCTGTCTCAGCCTCCTGAGTAGCTGGGACTACAGGCATGTGCCACCACACCTGGCTATTTTTTTGTATTTTGAGTACAGACGGGGTTTCACTGTGTTAGCCAAGATGGCCTCGATCTCCTGACCTCATGATCTGCCCGCCTCAGCCTCCCAAAGTGCTGGGATTACAGGTATGAGCCACCACGCCCAGCCGATTCCCATCTTATATAAGATCCACCAGATAGACCAGGCATAGTGGCTCACACCTGTAATCCCAGCATTCTGGGAGGCCGAGCCAGGCAGACCATAAGGTCAGGAGTTTGAGACCAGCCTTGCCAACATGGTGAAACCCTATCTCTACTAAAAATACAAAAAAATTTAGCGGGATGTGGTGGTGCACACCTGTAGTCCCAGCTATTTGGGAGGCTGTGACAGAATCAAGTGATTCTCCTGTCTTAGCCTCCCAAGTAGTGTGCACCACCATGCCCAGCTAATTTTATATTTTTAGTAGAGATGGAGTTTCACTATGTTAGCCAGTCTGGTCTTCGAGACCAGGGCGCAGTGGCTCACGCCGGTAATCCCAGCACTTTGGGAGGCTCAGGCAGGCGGATCATGAGGTCAGGAGTTCGAGACCAGCCTGACCAACATAGTGAAACCCCCGTCTCTACTAAAAATACAAAAACTAGCCAGGTATGGTGGTGCACACCTGTAATCTCAGCTTCTTGGGAGGCTGAGGCAGGAGAATTGCTTGAACCCGGGAGGTGGAGGTTGCAGTGAGCTGAGATTGCGCCACTGCACTCCAGCCTGGGCAACAGAACAAGACGCTGTCTCAAAAGAAAGAAAAAAGAAGAAAAACGAGAACTAGATTCAAAATCAGGAACATGACGATGATGTTCACCATCACTATTTCTATTTAACATCATATGAGAGATCCTAATTGCTATAATAAATTAATAAAATGAAATTAAAAGACAGGAATGAAAAGAATGAAACAAAAATTATTCACGAATGACATGTCTGTCTTCATAGGAAACTTATAAGAATCTACAAATGAATTACTAGAAATAATCAGAGTTTAGCACCATGGCTGGCTATAAAAACAATATACAAAAATCAATGCATTTCTGTATTCCTGCAATAAACAGAAGAATGTCTGTTTTTTTAAAAACACATTAAAAACTCTGAGATACCTAAGAATATCTGGGAATAAACCTCATGAAAAATTCTAGTTTTATGGCCAGGTGCAGTGGCTCACGCCTGTAATCCCAGCACTTTGGGAGGCCGAGGCAGACAGATCATGAGGTCAGAAGATCAAGACCATCCTGGCTAACATGGTGAAACCCCATCTCTACTAAAAATACAAAAAATTAGCCAGGCATGGTAGCGGGCGCCTGTAGTACCAGCAAGTCAGGAGGCTGAGGCAGGAGAATGGCATGAACCTGGGAGGCGGAGGTTGCAGTGAGCCGAGATCGCGCCACTGCACTCCAACCTGGGCGACAGAGCGAGACTCTGCCTCAAAAAAAAAAAAAAAAAAAAAAAAAGAAAAAAATTATAGATTATAGTTTTATGTATAAAACTAAGCCAGGCACTGTGGCTCACGCCTCTAATCCTAGCACTTTGGGAGGCCAAAACAGGAGAATTGCTTGAGCCCAGGACTTCAAGACCAGCCTGGGCAACACAGTGAGACCCTATCTCTACAAAAAGATTAAAAGATTAGCTGCACATGGTGGCTTGTGCCTGTAGTCCCAGCTACAAGAGAGACTGAGGTGGAAGAATCGCTTGAGCCCAGGAGGTGGAAGCTGCAATGAGCTACAATTGCCACTGCACTCCAACCAGGGTAACAAAGACCCAATGACCCTTTCTCGAAAAGAAAAAATTAGGCCGGGCGCGGTGGCTCAAGCCTGTAATCCCAGCACTTTGGGAGGCCGAGACGGGCGGATCACGAGTTCAGGAGATCGAGACCATCCTGGCTAACACGGTGAAACCCCGTCTCTACTAAAATACAAAA